GGAGGCCCATGAAACTGCACCTCCACCAAGCATAAATATCCAACCACTCGTGGAAGAGTGATCCTCTCGATCAGTTATCCAACTAGCATCAGTAAAACCTTCAAGCACACTAGGATAACCACTATAGTACAAACCATAATCCATGGTTTTCTTCAAGTATCTCAGTACTCTATTAACACCACTCCAGTGAATGTTACTAGGACAACTAGTATACCTACTAAGTTTCCCAACAGCAAAAGCAATGTCTGGCCGTGTGCACGTCATAATGTACATCAATGACCCAATGACCCTAGAATATTCTAACTGATTAACAGCTCTTCCTGTATTTTTATACAGTTTAATACTAGGGTCATAAGGAGTATTTACAGGACTGCCATCAAATTGATTGAACTTCTTTAAAACCTTCTCCACATAATGAGATTGTGAAAGAACCAATTTGGAGTCAATACTCTTGATCCTTATTCCAAGAATCACATCAGCAACACCCATATCTTTCATCTCAAAGTGAGAAGATAGGAATGATTTAACATGGTGTACTGATTCCATATCAGTGCCAAAAATCAACATGTCATCAACGTACAAACATATAATGACACCTTTATTGCCACTGAATTTACTATAAACACATTTATCTGACTCATGGATTGCAAATCCATTGGATACAATAACCTGGTCAAATTTCTCATGCCATTGCTTTGGAGCTTGTTTCAGGCCATACAAAGATCGTATGAGTTTACATACTTTCTTCTCCTGTCCAGGCATGACAAAACCTTCAGGTTGTTTCATGTATATTTCTTCCTCCAATTCTCCATTGAGAAATGCAGTTTTCACATCCATTTGATGGATGACAAAACCATATATAGAAGCCAAAGCTACAAGAACTCTAATGGTAGAGATTCTAGCAACAGGAGCATATGTATCAAAGTAATCGATACCTCCTTTTTGTGTAAAGCCTTGAGCTACCAATCTAGCTTTGAACTTATCTATGGTTCCATCAACTTTCATCTTTTTCTTAAAGATCCATTTACACCCTATAGGTTTAGACCCTGGGGGTAAATCAACTAACACCCAAGTGTTGTTACCCATGATAGAACCCATTTCATCATCGATAGCTTCTTTCCAAAACGAAACATCTTGTGATTTCATAGCTTCATCAAAAGTTTGGGGATCAGGCTCAACACTACTAGAAATCATAGTTTGGGTACAATGAGAAGATCTAGACCCTTCAACCAAGTAAACCACAAAATCGGGTCCAAATGATTTTTCAATTCTAGTTCTCTTACTTCTTCTAGGTTGAGGTTCGGGTTCAGGTTCAAATTCATGAACTTCTTCTTGTTCAAGATGTCTCTTAGAGACAATAACCTCATGTTCCTTTTGGGATTCATGCGAACCATTAAACCTAGAAATAGTCTTGAAACTATTCTCATAGAAAATAGCATCTCTAGACTCAATGATAGAATTAACACCAATAAATTCATTTGGTTCTACCACAAGAAATCTATACCCTTTACTATATATGTTCAGGATATCCCACAAATATGCATTCAACAGCTCTTACTCCCAACTTTCTAATTTTAGGTTCAGGTAAGCGAACAATTGCCCTACAACCCCACACTTTCAAATAACTCAAATTTGGCTTTCTCTTTTTCCATAATTCATATGGAGTAACATGAGTTTTCTTGTGAGGTATTCGGTTCAAAACATGACATGCCGTCAACATTGCTTCCCCCCAAAATCCACTACTCAAACCAGAGTTATAAAGTAAAGAGTTCACCATTTCTGTTAATGTTCTATTTTTCCTTTCTGCCACTCCATTTTGTTGTGGAGTATATGCCATGGTGATTTCATGAATAATCCCAACAGATTCACAATAGGCAGGAAAATGAAATTCTCCTCCTCTGTCTGATCTTAGGCACTTAATAGAACAGTTACAGAAATTCTCTACTTCGTTTTTGTAAATTTTAAATTTTTCTAGAACTCCATCTTTACTTGATAACAAATATAGATAACAATATTTTGAGTAGTCATTGATGAAGGTCACAAAATACATTTTCTTGCCAATTGTTGGGGTATTATGAAAATCACAAACATCACTATGTATCAAATGCAATAAAGAAGAAGAATGTTCTACTTTATTACTAAAAGGTTTTCTAGTGATTTTTGTGTGTGCACAAACTACACATTTATCATCCAACTCGGCATCATGTTTTGGAATTAAGCCTAACTTTGCCATGTGCTTCATACATTTAGAATTAACATGTCCTAATCTCGAATGCCATAATGAAGATGAAGAAACAATATAAGCAGAACAGTTCTTTATTTCATTGATATTAAGCTTAAACATGCCTTCGTACAGATATCCCTTTCCTACAAATACCCCCCCTTTAGTCAGTACAAATTTATCACCCTCAAACACTAGTTTAAAACCATGCTTGTTAAGGAGGGCTACAGACACAAGATTCTTCCTAACATCAGGTACATGATACACATTAGTTATAGACAACATTTTTCCGGAAGTAAATTCCAGATCAACTTGTCCAACACCTTTGATCATAGCAGTAGAAGAATTCCCCATGTACATGACACTTCCATCTTGAAGAGCCTCATAGGATGTAAACATACTCCTATCCTTGCACACATGCTTGGTAGCACCAGAATCAATAAACCAGGAACCATCATCTTCCACCATATTGGCTTCTGTGATAACAGCAACAAATTTTTCTTTGCCTTTTTCTTTGCTTTTATTGTCATGTTTTTTATTGTAAAATCGGCAATCACGTTTTATGTGGCCGACTTTACTACAGTACCAACATGTGACTTTCTTCTTTTTGTTGCTGTGATTCTCCTTAGCTCCCACAGTTCCTTTGCGGTAGGGGTGTTCTGGTACACATCGAATAGACCATCCGACAGAGCGTTTAGAATATGTCCTTTGCATATTTCATCATCGTTCAACCACTTGATCCTCGCCCTTGCATCAGCCATGGTTTCACTTTCGGATTCCTCGGGCTTCGGTGTGGTCAGAACATAATCAACCTTCAGATTGAACAACAGGAACTTGATCTTCTTCTGCCAACGCATGTAGTTTCCTCCTTCAAATTTTTCCAACTTTACAAAGTCGGTGGTTAATTGTTGCAAGTTTGCCATTTCAGAAATTAACTTATTTCGCCTAAAGATTGTTGGAAATCTAGAACACTAAACTTTATTGAAAAAAACTACTTATTTAACAATAAACTGAAAATAGAGAGTAGAACTACTCAGGCTTCAAGTCACGATCAAATCGCTTTCCTTTAGGCGAAATACGCCCCATATAAAATAGTGCATATGGTCCAACGAATTGCCTTTAGGATACAATGAAGCCTCATTAGATTATTTGCACTTAATAATCTAATCCTAAATACTTTGTAACTAATAGCCTTGTTCGTATAACACACGCATCTGCAGTATGCGTATATGTCTTTTGAAAGCAAAACGCAAAAGGAAAATTCTAACTAACAAAATCAACAACTCAAGTAATATATATAGGGAGTACGAGACTTTTCCTGGTGTCCTTTGGTATGACGGTTGATAAACCGTCCAGGTTTATCTCAAAAGATAAACACACAAAATGGATTAAAGTAATAATACACGTGTGATTACCAAATTATGATAATATATGTACATATATACGGATATATATATATATACATAATTATATAATATAACCATACTAATCTGCCACACGTACAAATCATTAGGCCCATTATTATAGGAACCAATCACCTTTTTATTTTTCTTGGAAGACTAATCTTTAATAAAGTTTGAAACTTTATCTATCTTCCATAGAAAAAATTAAAGTCAACTTTCATGTTGAAAATAATCCAACAATGTTTGGATCCCAGATAATGGTAGGGAAAGAAAAGAAAACACCAAGGAGATACTAATCTGATGTTGTGGATGGCAATTGCCAAACGACAAACTACCTGACTATTCCAAATGATGAAAATCTATAGAAGCTTGGATATATATATATGCTGACAATATATAATGCTCTTAAATATAATTAAAAAGTTAACTGGTGTCTGGCCAAGTAAGAAGAAGTTGACTGTGAAGGGAAAATGAAGCTTATTTGGACTCTAATTTTCTGTAAATAAAATGCGCCAAGGTCGGGTAAAAATTTAATGAAGATAAAACATTAATCATCCGTTGGAGTGTTGGACTGTTGGACACTTGGACTAATGTTCGAGCTGAGAATTCATATAGGATTATAGGGGAAGAGGGGTATCGTATTTGAAAGTTGAGATTTAAATGAAGTTATAGGTGGCATAGAGCACGACTAAAATCTTAAATCCTAATTAAATCTATATAATTGAACCTATATCATTTTGGACACACGACACCTTAAAATGTGGACTAAAACAGTAAAACTCCATTGATTGTATAAATACACCAAAATTAAATCTATATAATTGAACCTATATCATTTTGGACACACAACACCTTAAAATGTGGACTAAAACAGTAAAACTCCATTGATTGTATAAATACACCAAAATTAAATCTATATAATTGAACCTATATCATTTTGGACACACAACACCTTAAAATGTGGACTAAAACAGTAAAACTCCATTGATTGTATAAATACACCAATATTTTTAAAATGATATTCACAGACTGGTGACTGGTTATTATTTGGGATTTAAATAGTTCAAGTGTGCAACGAAGCCTTGGTGGGATGTATACTGAACCCTGGTGACTGGTCCTATATACTACCGTTTTCCTTCAAATGAAGCCCTAAAATAAAGTCCTATAAGTTTATTATATTAAATGATATAGCTTCAAGAACACAGGCGTTGGGAGATGCATGTTAGCCCACTTGCTTTGGTTTTCTTAAAATGATGATTAAAGTTAGAAATATCATCTCTTAAAGTGATGATCATTATTCATAAAATGAGTAAGAAACGGTAATTGGGTTGGATCACATATACCTGTGGAATATTTCGCAAAATATGATTCATCAGTGAAGTTAAAACGCTAAAAACACAACATTAAAGTCGAATAAGATCTGATATTGGAACTGTAAATTTGATAATTGAATACGTTCTTATTTAGTCATTAAATGAACATTACGGAGCAAAGTTATGTATTACAAGATTTCAAGAGAATACATTGCCCTCTCTGCAACAATCGTTGGGAAAACATCCTTTTCGAACCGAATGGATTTACTATCAACTCGATCATACAAATTTAAATTAAACTAATTTAATTTTACCACTGTCATTCATCGAATTATTGAAGAACAAGATTATGGTTCCTTTCACTAATAATTCTTCAAATAAAGAAACCACGAAGGCAAGGCAAAACTGAAGAGCTAGCAGGATCCATGGCAGTCAATTGGTGCTGATTCAACACAGCTTTACAAATTAAGCAAGTCTGATATCTGCTCCTGATCACTTTGTGATAACTATAAGGCAGTCGGGAATCAGGATGTGCCAAGCAGCCTGCTTGTCTTTTGGGCCATTGTAGAGGAGCCGGTTAAACAAGGTCAAATTCCAGATCAAACATTTCATTTAAAACCAAAACCACAGGAAAGTGGAAGCGATACACAATAGTCAAGCAAATTGGAAGATCTCTTATCTGTTTCCCAAAAAAAAGAGGGAAGAGTCTAGAGAAGGACCAGGACGAGAGGACAGGGATTAGAAAGATTTTTGTGTATAAATAGTACTTAATCCCAAATCCGGGGACGCAACAAGACTGATCATTTAAGCGCTTCAGATGAGTCATCAGATGATTCACCATTCATGTTAAGGAATGAAGATATTCTTTCAATGGCCTCTTATAATGATCATCTGTCTGCATAGAGAGTGAGCATGGACAGGAGTCAGGACCCTTGAATTGAATTTACTTTCTGGTCAGATGTGAAATCAGAAGATAAGCATACACCATGGCTACGTCCTTTACATGCCCAACCAGAATAAAGTGTTACAAGGGCAGCATCAGATGCGAGAGCTGATTAATGAAAATAATACTACCTCCGTTCCTAAAAATCCTTCCCGGTTTGACTTGGCACGCCTATTAAGGAAGTGGAATAAATTGGAAATGAATGGTTGTGGTTGTGTAAGAAAAAGGTAAAATGAATGCGAGCCACACAAATTGTCCAAAAAGAGAAAGTGGGAAGCATTTTCGGGAACGGCCCAAAAAGGAAAGTGGGAAGTATTTTTGGGAACGGAGGGAGTAAGAAGTTAGTAAACTAAAAAAGTAGACAGATGGCACCCATCAATCAATAGCATAAAGAGGATTAAAGTAAGTTTACCCGTTAACTGCATATTATTTAAAAACTTCTTAGCTTCATCCTCAGTCAATAAGCCAACCAGCCATGGCAATACGCGTTCAGTCAACTTCAGTGGCATAAGGCACATGCTTTCATGCAAGATTTCTCTCTGTTTCTTCTTGGAAAAATGTTTCCTAGCAAGTGGAAGAACCTGGACATACATTAGAAGACTAAACATCACACTGGTGATTTTTGCATTGTTAAAAAAAAGGGATATTTTGAGTTTGCACCCCATTTTATTGTCTAAATTAGACTTTGCACCCTGTTTTTGAAATCTTTAGTATTTGCACCCCATCCCCGTATGAAAAGACTAAAATGCCCCTCCACTAACAATTTTGTTGGTCTTTAACATATTCCTGATTGAGGGACATTTTTGTCTTTTCATAAGGGGTTGGGGTGCAAATACTAATGATTTCAAAAACGGGGTGCAAAGTCTAATTTGGCCAATAAAATGGGGTGCAAACTCAAATTATCCCTAAAAAAAATAGGTCAAAGCATAACTACTTATCATGCAATAGGAGTTACGTGTTAAGGAGAACTTTTGCTTGGAATAAAGACGAATAAAAGGTCAGTAACACAACTAAGTATACTTTATCACTCATAAATAATGCCTTTTCTGGTTATGCAATTTCTAGACAAATATGAAGCTGCATAGGCCAATAGGCCATATGTGACATTTTGAAGAGAAAGATTGCATTTGTCTCTCACAGCCCAACCAGAACCATGTAATTCAAATAAATAAATAACTTAACATAAAGTTTCCCTCAAAAAATAGAATAACTTAAAATAAAGACAAATAGTATGACCAACTGTCACACACAACAGAAAACAAGAGTACCTGAACTTCCTCGTCGTGAAAATGCTTTTTAATTGTTTCAATAATTAAATCAGCATTAAGACATAATGTTGAGAAAAACTCAGCAGCTGAATCTGAATTGATGCCCGTACTCTGAATGTTTTCGATCATCAAACGGAGCTCATTGAATTGACTTTTTTCTTCCACACGCTCCTGAGAGAAGGAAAAATCCCCATCTACAACCGGGAATATGACCTTGTCTTCAGAAACACGGTAGCAAGTTTACAAAATAAAGGTCGACTTCACCAATTCGGCAATTATCCCAAAAAGAGTTATCAAATTGTTATGGTGACTCATTTTTTATTTTAATAATCAAAGAAAATCTGATCTATCATAATCAATGAGTCAATACCTGGGAAATATGCAAACATCAGCTATGAACTGGACTCTCATAGAAATGCCGAAGATTAGATAAGTCTCCAGACAGATCAACCTTTCTAGCCTCTGAAACAAGTCCATCTAATTCTCTTTATATAGTATTGTGCCAATGCAAGATCTCATTTATAGGATGCCCCAAGTCAGTGTAACAAGCATCACAAGTCGGTCTAAAATGTTTTCTTTTCCCTGTCTTTAAAGATCCAGAAGCACATGGCACTTTTCCAGCAATATGAATTTTTGCACCAGGCTGAAGATCAATACAACTTCTACTCTGAGCATCACCATCATGAAATTCAACTTCTTAGACACAACAATATTTCTTTCTATCAACTTCTATATTATCCGAGTCTAAATATTCATCCAAAAACTAAAACTATTCATACATATCAGAAGCAAGGCAGTTATTTATCACCTAAGTAGTACTAGTGTTTTTCGGGACTGGAAGCGGGGGCGCTTGCCCCCCATGCCCCCAGGTCCTCCACTGATTACATGTAACCGTAAGGGCGGATGTACCTTCTCTTTTAGTGAGAAATCACAAATAATATCTTGGATCCATAAAGAAAGAGTAATAAGGTCTGGAACCCCAAGGGCATCCGGGAAACCACTTCTAAGGACTTGTAGAGTCTTGCTCCCGATGTAAAAGTGCCCTGTGCCGACCTACCAATAGTCATTGCATGAGCAACTTCCTCCTTTGAAATTGTGAAAACGTGAGCGATCTCTCACAATAATCTCTCTTTCATAAACTTCCGAAATGGCCTTTAAAGCAGAATGGCAATCTACACAAGTTCTCAAATTTTTAACAATTCGGATACAAGTCCCTGGAGTACTACTCAGCAGTCCATATGCAACAGCCAGCTTCTCACTATGCCATGCCACGGCATGCTCCTTCTCCTCCTCAATAAGATCAAATGAAACGTGCGTGGTGCTAGCAACGTAGCCTGCTTCCCGAGCCCTGTCCAACACTTTCTGTAACTTCTCATAAATTTCGTAAATCTGGGGATGCAACTTTTCTGCGACACGAAATTCATGAACAACACCATTAACCTCAATCCAGCTGCATCCTATATCGGGTCGGTTTTTGTTTCTCCTCTCACCCATTACCTCCCTCAGTTGAGTGACTCTCTCCCATTTACCCTGAGAAGCATAACAGTTTGAAAGAAGCACTTCACCACCTACACTAGATGCAGAAGAGCCAAGAAGACCCTTAATATAGTCTACGACGCTCTCTCCGAGATCAGAATTGCGATGGATCCGGCATGCGCTGAGCAAAGCCCTCCATATGACAATATCAGGTTGCACTGGCATGCTTCGAACAAGTTCAAATGCCTTCTCCAAGTAGCCCGCACGCCCAAGTAAATCAACATAACAGCCATAGTGCTCAATCTTAGGCTCAATCCCCCATTCGTTCTCCATATTGTAGAAGACATAGGAACCTTCTTCCACAAGGCCAGAATGGCTACAGCCGTTTAGGACTCCTAAAATGGTCACCTCATTTGGACTGATATTTCCGTCATCTAACATCCGCTTGAACACATTGAAGGCGTCTTTACCGAGGCCATGAATAGATAGCCCAGATATAAAGCTCGTAAAATTGTGAACGTCCGGGCTTGTTATTTTATTAAATACTAATTCTGCACAACCAATCCTACCACATTTTGCATACATATCAATTAGAGCAGTGGATACATTGGAAGTATATGGTATCCTACTCTTGTCAATGTGAGTGTGAATCCAATTGCCCTGTTCCAACGCCCCCAGCTGAGCACAAGCAGAGATGGCACAAACTAGAGCAGCCTCATTAGGCTCGCTGCCAGACAACAGCATATCACGAAAACAGATTAGGGATTCCATGTACCTGCCACTTCCAGCAAAACCAGAAACCATCACAGCCCAAGAAACATCATTACGCATTGGCATTTTATCAAAAGCTTGACATGCATGGGACATCTCTCCATTTTTTGCATACGCACATACTATACTAGTCCATGAGAACACGTCTCTCTCAGGCATTTCATCGAAAACCATGGACGCATCGCCCGTTCTCTTGAAAACTCCGTACATGTTAACCAACGAATTGGCGACGTACAAGTTCGAGACATACCCATATTTTATCACCAGCCCATGGGCAGCTGCGCCCTGAGTCAACCACATCTGGCGGGAACATGAGGTGATGAGAAAAGTGAATGTGTAGTCATCAGGAAGAACCCGACAGGCGTGGTCAAGAGACAGCAATTCGCGGAATAAAAGGATGGGTTCGGGAGAAGATTGAAGCTTGGAGTAGGCTCGGATCATGAGATTCCATATCAAGATTGGTGGTGAGGGCAAAGGGTATTTGCTGAACAATGCTTTAGAAGAGGAAAAGTCTTGGGCGAAGTGATAGCAATGGATAAGAGAGTTGGTTAAAGAAGCATGTGAAGAGAGTGAGGAGGCAATTACTCGGGCATGGATTTGCTTGATCTGAGATATGGGTGGACGTTGATTTAGCAGCTGAGAAAGTGATTTCACAGTTTGGCGGAAATTCGGGTTTGTATCTTCAACGGGAATGGCGGGAAACGGGTTTGATGCTGATGAGGAGAAAGTTTTTGCATAAAGTTGGGGCCGGAGCGATTTGGTTCTAGAAAATCCCCACATTCGGCTGTCTTCGGTAAACAGAAAATCCACCCCAACGTCGTTTGAAAGATGTTATATACTCCGTGTTTGTTTGTTTGTCAAAGTGTACTAGAATTTTCACGAATGCGTTGCCCGAGATGATTTTCTAATGGATATACGGAGTATATAATATTTCGTATGACTAAATATTCATGGTTATATAAATGTCCATGAATATATGCACAAGTGCATATATTAAGAATTACAAATCATTTTCTTTTAGAATTTAAAAAAGTACTGGATTGGTTGTTATTATAATCAGTGATTATAATAATCATTTTCTTGTTCGAGCCCAAGCACGGTATTTACATTTTTTATTGTGCCATACAATTATTCACTGGAAAGTTGTTAATGCAAGAAATAATACACTTCCCAAGGAATGGAGAAAGCTTTCTCGAACTAATCGTCAATACAACTATATGTTCCATGAAGGTTATGCCATATCTTATACGGAGTATGGTGTGATAAGATACGTGTAACATGTGTTTGTAATGTATTCCCACAAATTTGTACACATATTTTAAGCTTGCATATTCTTAACTGTAAAATTTTACACCCTTTTGTAATCAAAATTAAATTTATTTTCATATCTTTTACATCAACCGACCTTATAAATTTCTTTTTTAATATATGTGTAAATCAAATGATTGAAAAGGAATTCGTAGAAGCCTAGAAGGGATGGAATTAATTAATTATCCTCTCAAACCACAACCACACATATTTATTTGCTAATGCGCGGTACCATGGTACTATACAAACATCATATATACAAACATCATAAAGACTCAGTAATATTAGTTCTTTGCTACATCCTGATAATAAAAGTACAATGTATTACATTTCTTGATTTTTCCAGTTTTTTAAAAAATCAAAGGAGCATCCTTGAGTCCCTGACCACCCAACCCAGTTCCCTCTGCCTACTCTTGGAATCAATAGCAGCGACCCCATTGATTTTCACCTATCCGATGTCGGATTTCAACCATCTCCTCCCGTCACTATTACCTGAACTTATCCCCAGTTGCATATTCGGTCTCTGAGCAGCGTGCCATCCTTCCAAGGTTCATGTTGTAGCCCTCCAAACACCCTCTGCCGAGAACTCAGCTCTCCCAGACCACATTGTTTATTTTCATCCAAATACTCCAAAGAAGCATGACAAATTTGCAATTTTTTTCTTATGTTAATGCATTGAAAACAACCTCAAACCAGCCCACAATTGATGAATCTCAACCTGCAATTGATAGTCCAAATTTCTCCGAAACTACCTTTGTGCCCAGACAATATCTTAAGATATAAAGACCACATTGCACTCCCCTGGAACCTGCATGTGTCTCCTCCTCAAACTTGTTGCTACCTGCCAGAAAAAGAGCTTCAGTTTCGGTGGTATCTTGAAGTTCCAAATAGCTGTCCAGCCCTCCAAGTAGACATTAGACTCTAAGTACCTAGTTATATATGCAGCAAGTAAAGATATGCTCTTAAAACCCCTCTCCCCTCCATTGATTAAAAATGTGTGTTTTTGCCTCAACTGTTAGACAGTAGGCACTGCATATCACTGATGCAACAATTGATATTATCATATTAGAAGCTTTAGGAAATACTGACTCATCAACAAAATCTATTTTTTTTCTTTGTTTTTAATCTATTTCTTAAACATGATAAACTATATAAGTATCTTGTGATCAACCTAGTGAAGGAAACAAAAGTTTTAGACACTAAAAAAGTACTGATATTTAAAGAGGTTCAAAGAAATGACCATTTAGGACTGTTTTAAGCTATTTAGAGCAGTACGTGTGTCAAAGATACATCAAGCACATGCCTCAAACTAACCAATCAAACTCATTCTAAGAGTAGATCCTTTTTTTTTAAGAAGGTTCTTATTTTAATAAATGTTGAAACAAATATTGATTTTCACAGTTTAAACGTAACATTTAACCAATATAAAGGTTTTGGGTTTGAAACATTGTAAGAGAGATCAAAACAAACATGTAATTGTACCAAACTAAGTGTTCCAAATTATATTGTACTACCTCCGTCCCTTTTTAGTTTGCCAATTTTGACTTTTCCAGTCAAAGATGATAAACTTGCATTTATTATTTTAACTAATATATTTATGTAAAAGTTAATAAATTTATACTTGTATGATAGCATTTACAACAAAGAATATTTTTATATAATTTTCTTATTATCAATATATAATAAGAAAATATATAATAGATAAATAGATTAATAGATAATCTATTTGAACATGTGTATAAATATATAATCGGTCAAAGTTGAACAACTTTGACTTGAAAATGTGTGTTTGGCAAACTAAAACGGGACGGAGGGAGTAAAAAAAAGTGGTATATTCAAGCTCAAAAGCAGGACAACATCTTACCGTTTATTGTACATGTGAAAATATAAGTTAACTCCGACATAAAAAAGAATAATGACACATTCCTCTTAAAGTATATCCTTTCCACCACCCTCTTATTTATGTTAAACTTCATACTTTTAATTATTTTCAATATGAATAAATTTATTTGTTTCGACAGTGACAACATGGTGCAGTAACCTAATTAAGTTTTGTTATTTTAGTTGATCATATAAGGTTAGCTCTAGATTTCTTATTCATCGATGAAAAGAACATAACCTCGTAGCAAGGAATTTGAACTAAACCTGTAAAGCTATTTTCATGCTTCAATGTTTCTTCAAAGTGGTATATTATGTTGCTGAAACTGAATATATTATTTACTAACTTAGGCATACTTAATCAGATGGACTTTCAATATGGTGCAGCAGCCTATTTAAGTTTTGTTATTTTAGTTGATCATATAAGGTTAGCTCTAGATTTCTTATTCATCGGGGAAGAGAACAGAACCTCGTAGCAAGGAATTTGAACAAAACCTGTAAAGCTATTTTCAGGCTTCAATGTTTTCTTCAAAGTGGTATATTATGTTGCTGAAACTGAATATATTATTTACTAACTTAGACATGCTTAATCAAATGAACTTTCTACCCTGACTGCTCATCCTTTCTTGACTTCTTAAGCATGTGGATTCTATAGTCTGTCTGCTTAACATGTGGATCCATATAGTTAAGAATTTAGAAAATGCATAGAAACCACTCATCATATTAGAAAAACTAAATAACATAATTCAAAGTCAAGAAAAATTAGCTAGCCATTCTTTGGATACAAATTAGATATGTGAACCTACCAAATCAATCTTCACATTTGAATTCATATGAGCTTGAAGGAATGAAGAAAGAAAATGTAGATAAAGATTGAATAAGCTAAGCGAAAAAAGTGAAAATAAAAATGGAAAGAGTAACACATTATCTTCCCTATCAAACCTCTTACCTTATCAACCGGAATTCAAATCTGAAGAAAAAAACCTTCACGCCAGGATATGACTAAGTCCAGAATGTGAAGAATCTTTCTGGACAGAATGCGAACAAACCCAGGGAAAAAACTTTCTGGCAAGAAAAAAACATTTCAGCCAGAATGAGATAGAAAAAAAATATGATAAAATCAATTCCAGCACAAAACAAAACCGAAAATATAAATAACAAATTGAGGCAAGAATATTTTCCTATAGAAATCTAAAACGATTTCGAGTAGGCGATGTGAGGGAGAAGGAGAATTTGAGGGATGTTATCCCATAGAAAAGAAACGATATGAGAAATGGGAAGAGAAAGGAAGATGACTGTAGGCCGTGGATGAAAATTATTTGATTGCACGGTTGAAAATAGCCTATAAAAGTTGAGCGGGAAAGTGCTTCTTGCACAAAGTAGTGCAATTATGTAGAGTGATTTTATTCCGTAATTTTTACTAAAACTTCACTTCTCAAGAGCTTTGTCTAACAAAATAATACGGTAGTGTTTGGTGTGGCCTTAACAAGAGTCAAGAAGCCATATTCCGAATTGCCAAGTCCCTAAGTATTGGCTTTCTTAAAACTTAAGTAATTGCCCTAAATGGGACTAAAACATTGCTTAAACTCATAATTAGGACTTCAAGTTTATTATTCCCTAAATGGGACTAAAGATTACAGTTTTGCCCTTATAACTTAAACTTAGATGTGTGACTCTCCCTATGCCCTCTCTGGTCGATCGCCGATTACTTCCAATCGACCTCCATGCGCTGGAACTCACCCGCTGACAATTCCTTCATGTACTGATCTACCATGGACTAGAGCTCTGTCGTCCACCGCAACCACGCACCACCACCATCTGCCGTAATCTTCTTCCCTTCTTCTTCAGCCAAGTCAGGTAGGTAATCTTCTCCTTTTTTTTCTTCTTCTTCACCTCCTCACTACAACATTTCAACCCTTAATGTATCACCAAAAACTGTTACTATATTAGTGAAAAGTGTTACATTAGAGAAAATGTAACACCTGTTTACCATTACATTTGCTCATGTTACATTAGACCTATTGTAACACTTTATAGTCTCTAATGTAACATTAATGTAACATTTATACTTCTAGAAAGTGTTACATTAGGTGTCAAAAGTGTTACATTAGAGAAATATGTAACACTTTTATAGATAGGTTACTCCTCCTCTTCTCCTCCTCGGATATGAATTTTATTTATTAGTTTGAAATATGAAAATATCAAAATCCCAAGTTTCGTATATGTCTTGCAGACCTCTAATGAGAATGTCAAGAATAATGACATGATGATGGAAGTTTCTTATAAAAACGTGACATTCTTAGTTGCAAAATATATGAATTTTTAAATGAAAAGTAATGGCAATTTAAGGATGAAAATTTTGACATCATTTGGAAAACATGTCAAAAAAACATGTCATTTGTAATAACAAGTAGTTATGTCATTCTTAGATAAGCCATAAAAATGCCATAAAATTCCATAAGAATGACATTTTCTTATGAACATGACATTTTCATATTGTCATCTTGATAAATATACTGCCACAAACGTGGCAGTTTGATATGAGTTTTCTAGCACTTAAAAAGATTGGAGAATTGTGGTGAAAATTACGAGTATCGTCTCCACAGG